GGAACAAACTTATATATGTTTTGGAAGAATTTTAGCTACACCAATCAGGCTTCTGTTACTATTGAGGGTGGAATCATGTCAATGATGAAGAGGTGATATCAAGAAAAGAAAAGGTGATGGGAAAAAAGAATACTATTGATTCTTTGTTTAGAAGATCCAAAAGCACTCAACTCACAATCAATCAAATGTTGAAACATGATCTGGAGGAGGAAGTACATCAACGTGTTGCCAGATTTTTTTACACAAGTGCAATACCTTTTAATTGTGTGAAGAGTCCATATTTTATACAAATGTGTGAGGCAATTGGGAGATATGGGATTGGGTACAAACCTCCTTCTTATCACCAAATTAGAGAAACATATTTGAAGAAAGAGGTGGGCCTAACAAATGAATTGCTTGAGGAGCATAAAAAAGAATGGACAAGAATTGGTTGCACTATTATGTCAGATGGATGGAGTGACAAAAAACGACGATCAATAGTGAATTTTTTGGTGAATAGTCCCATGGGAACAGTTTTTTTATCATCAATTGATACATCTGATATTTCAAAAACTGCTGAAAAAGTTTTTGAGATGTTAGATGATATCGTTGAGAAAGTGGGGGAAGAAAATGTTGTGTAGATTATTACAGACAATGCTGCTAATTATAAAGCTGCAGGAGAGATGTTAATGGAGAAAAGGAAAACAATATTTTGGACACCTTGCGCGGCACACTGCATTGATTTAATGTTGGAGGATTTTGAGAAAAAATTAGAGATCCACAGAGATACAATTTACAAGGGAAAAAGGGTAACAATTTTCATCTATTCAAGAACTCTACTTATTTCCTTGATGAAGCAGTTTACCAAAGGTAGGGATTTAATTAGACTAGCTGCCACTCGTTTTGCTACCTTATATCTTACTTTGGGGTGCTTCAATGAATTTAAGGGTGCATTGGTGTCCATGTTTTCCTCCACTAAATGGAAACAAAGTAAGTATTCAAAAATGAGGGATGGAAAGTTTGTGGAGAAAGTGGTTTTGGATCCAAATTTTTGGAAGAATATTACTACATGTTTAAAGGCTGCAAATCCACTCATTAAGGTGTTTCGTTTGGTGGACTTTGATGAGAAGCCGGCCATGCCTTTCATTTATGAAGAGGTGGATCGCTGCAAGGAAAAGATTCAAGAAAATTTTAAGAAAGTCAAGAAAAGGTATGATTAATTGTTTATTTAATACAATTAATTATTTAAATTTTAATATTCAATTGTTTTTAACATGCCCTATTTTTTTTCTTTTTTCTTTTTTTTTTTTTAAGTTATGAGTCTATTTGGAAAATTATCGATGATAGATGGGCATCTCAACTCCATAGACCACTGCATACAGCAGCATATTTTCTGAATCCTCATCTTCGTTTTGATCCAAATCCTGAAAACAATTACAAGGTTGATTTGGAGGTTAAAATGGGTTTTTATGATTGCTTGGAAAGGATGGTGTTGAATCAAGATGAAAGGAATAAAATTGATTCTCAAATTGATTTTTTCAAGGCTCGTAAGGGATTATTTGGAAGTACTCAAGCAAGAAATATGTGGAATAAGAAATCTCCAGCTGATTGGTGGGAGTCTTACGGAGATAAATATCCTGAATTGCAGCGTTTTGCAATTCGAATTCTTAGTTTGACTTGCAGTTCATCTGGTTATGAACGTAATTGGAGTGCTTTTGAGATGGTAAAATTTTATTATCCTTTAAATTTAATTTAATTAATACTTAGTTTTTTACATTGTTATTTCTTAATTTTTATTAATATTTTATAACAAATGAATTGTTATAGGTTCATACAAAAAGGAGAAATCGTCTACATCAAAAGAAAATGAATGATTTAGTGTTTGTTATGTGCAACTTAAAATTGAAAGACAAACAAGTGAGGAAGAAAGTTGAGTTAGATGATATCTCTTTAAATGACGAATGGCTAGCTAATTCCCAAACAAATGAAGAATTAATAGATCCTGAAAGCGAAGATGACATAGAAGATGATTTTGTAGAAGATGACAAAGAAGATGAATTGGAGAACCACGATTCATTGGAGACCACTTTTTTTAATGATGAGGATGATGAGGAAAATCAAGATATAGAAGCCGAAGAAAATGATGATATGGAGGATGATTTTTGAGTTGTTATTTTTATTTTTTTTTATCATATGCAATTATTGTTAGCCTTTAAATTATATTATAAACTATTAAATATTAAGTACTTCATATTTAAAATTTTAAATATTTTATTTTAGACTTATTTTATCAATGAACAAATTTAACAATTTATTTTAAAATGTTTACATAGTTTATAATTTTTTATTAAATTTGCTAGGATCTTACAATCCTATTTGCGATCTTACGATTTGCGATCTCATCTACCCTTTCCGATCTCAAGTAAAATCCCGATTTTGACAACCTTGATCACAATTGAATTAACAGGTTTTCTTCTGAAATTATGTTCTGACAGTGGTCAACAATACCGTAGTCATTAACAAGGCGACCAACACACCCCAGAGCTACCTATCAAATTTTCAGTCTAGTGAACTCCTTGATAGAATCTGCTAGCACCTGAGAGTACTAAGAACTCTCCTAATAAAATATCCCACTACCAAGTTTCCGTAGAAAAGATTCAAGAAAACCACACCTTTAATTTTGAGCATAGCTCAATAACATCATCAACAAGCTTGCCAAAGTTGAGAATATAGCCATGAAGACCTTCTGACATGCCAAATCCTGAATAATTCATTGCAAAAACTCCGTATATAGATAATACGAACTTTCTTGCAATTCCTGGTAACAATATAGGATAACGAGGTCACACATCATGCTTTGTACCAATCTACAAAGAGATCATAATTTGTACATGCTATGAGTTACATGCCTTCAAAGAAAAAGGTACAAGTGTCTCCTTAACCATGACAATAATACACCAATGCTTTAGGACAAGAGGACTCTAGAAGCCAACCTTTTGAGAAAATTTCCAATCCTCTAGAACTCACCTCAAATGACTAGTCCACAACGTATATATATCAAGCAATTGAAAGGTAGAACATTGCCCGTGTTTATCAACAATTTAGCATGCGAAAAAGAAACAACAGCTTTGGTAGAAAACATCCTTCAACTGCGATTGAATAGCTAAATGTATAGTTGTAATCTCAGGGAATGAAGGAAAAACAAACATAAGCAAAATCAATTACTTTTGCCCAGGGTTGTTCATTATTTACACTGATCTAGAGACTATGTACAGTCACAAATACTTCAAGAATCAAGATGAATGCATTGGAAAATGACATCACTAAGTACAAAGATGGGAAAAACACAATAGTGGCACCAAATTTGGCTTTAATTTTTACCTCATTTCATTTTCACTCCATGAGAAGGTGCCCACAGAACATTAACATCATGCAATCAGAATTTGAAAAAGTAATCATTACCCATTTACGCAATAATTTACAAGACTAAAGTTTTAATTATACATCTGAAATCCCAGAAAAAAGAATTATCTACCATCATTGTTTTTATGTAGTGTAACCATTCCAAAAAACTTTTCATTCAGTAGAGAAAACCAGAGCACTCAAAATGCTGAAATCTGGAAATAATTACGTACCTTTAAACAAAATATGGTCAACCCCAAGATCCTCTGCAACTCGTCATCGACTCCGGCAAGCCTCACCGGCAAGCCATTACTCTCCTCCTCTTCTTCTTCTTCCCCGTCAAACAAAAGTTCGAAAATTTCTAAAGCATTTCAAAAACCCATCAGGAAGTTGGAGTCTGAAGAAACAGAAGCTAACGAAAACAGAAAAGCGTGAAGCTTGCCCAAACAAAATGGGTTAAGGTACAGATATTGATCCATGAATTCTGTTTATTCTAATTTAGCCCTTCTACTGATTTTTGTTCCAAATAAACCGCTTAAACTAACTTTCACATAGAATCATTCAAGTTCCTGTATTGTTGCATTTAAGGCAGATTTTTTCTTTCCCCCTCTGCATTTGTTAAGGTATTTTAGTATTTTGCTAGTAGCTTTGTAATGCAGAAAAAAGTTGATGGTTGCTAGTCCCTTATTTAAATTTTATTGGTGACTACTGATTATTGATTATTAATATATGAGTTTCATTGTTTTATGATTTGAATTATTTTAGATTGTAAAATAATTTTTCATTAATATTAAAGAGATAAAAAAAAATACTTTTAGATTTAACATTGCATTTATGTTTGGAGTTATAAGATTTTTCTAACATACCTTAAGGGCATAAGTTAATAATGTATTTA